CTGGTTCCTCGCCTCGCGGCCAGCGGCCTCGCCGTTCCCGTGGAGATCATCCCCTTCGGCTGGGCCCTCACTCTCCGCCGACTACAGAGCTTGTTCGACGGCGTGCCGGGCTTCAATCTCAAGCTCAGGACCGCCTCCATCAACGCCAAAGCCACCACCTTTGACGAGAAGGGGTCGGACTCGGAGCCATTCGTGACTGACAACAAGAACTACATCGCGGATTTGTTCTTCGAGAATGGGATCCATGGCGACCTGAGAGTGATCAGTGATGCGATCCTGAGGATTACCGGAGTGGTGGAGCATGGGTTGTTCCTCGGATTGGCGTCGTCGGTGGTGGTGGCACACAAGGATGGGGTGGTGGTGGTGAAGGACAAGGAGGCGACATCGAATGGGATGTGAGAACTTAATCTTTGTGTTGTGTTGTGTTGTGTTGTGTTGGTTAATTATTATGCTTTTTTTTTTTTGGTATAAAGATAACCGACGAAGAAGATAAATTATTAAAAAATATTAATTAAATTAATTAATATTTAAAAGAATATGTCAATTAAGAATAAATTAATTTTTATTTTGAAAGAATGAAGTCAAATTGTTTTGGGTAGAGAATAATATATAGAAATGGTAAATGCGAAGGGGATGTAACAAAGATGTAATAGTCAAAAGTTGATGGGAATTTAGGTGACGGATAGTGTGATATTATTTACTCATTCATTGTGCTGCTAACTCAATAATTACTAATAATGGACGCTAAATTTGTTGTGTTTCATCTAAGATGAATGTAAGAGATATTTAATTGATGCTTTATTATTTATGTCTCGAATGATGTATTCATTATCTCTTGAATAAATATTATATTATATACGAAGGTATTTTTGGTGTATTATGTCCCTTAATATTTATTTATCTTAGGTGGATATATTATGTGGGTGTTTTAGTTTTATCTCTTAAAGATTGATCATGTATCGAAGCTACAACATATTAGACTAAAGATTTCTTTATTTGTATTGTGAATATTAGCAACATGATAGTTGATGCTTCTTTATGTTGAGAGAAAGATCAAAATAACAAGTTTAATATTTATCCAATTTTTTTTATTATTATTACTCACTTGATCTATTCTTAAATAGAAAATAGTGTAGTCAACGGATAATAATTGAATTTTTCAATATTATCTTTTCGATGGATGAAGGATGATAGAGATTACGTTAGCCGAAGGATGATTACTACTGATTCCAAGACGCAAAGGTAACCATTCTACAATACTATTGATTGATTGTAATTTGAACCCTATTATTTTTTAATCATATAAGACTAAATTGTGATTAATGTCTTGATAAAAGATTATTATTTGTTCAAAATGAGTTTGATATTGGTTACAATAATTTGCTTTTTAGTTCCGGAGGATACTGTAGATAGTTAATTCTAAATTTTTTTCTTTGTTTACTTGTGAGACTACGCCATCCATCCGATGTCAACAATAAAAAGAGGAAATGTTGCGAGTATATGTAAATATAAAAATTATAATCATGTTATTATTATGGGAAAAATATAATATAAGATAGTGTACCTTTCGATATAATTTAGAATAGTTTTCGATAGTCTACCAAATGTATAATCATTCAATCCAAATAAACTAATTTGTAGGAAAAACTAAACTCATAGAAATATGATAATAGTTCTATAATCTTTCTTCTATATTATATAATCTTTAGAAAATCTTATGATCAAAGTGTTAGTGAACAAATGTGTCGTGGCTAATGAGTCAGCACGGCCTGATCCACGGGTCGATGTCGGGAGTCTTCTGTCGGTTGAGCCGGATGCCGAGGTTGACTGGGCCCTCGCGACAGGGAGTTGATCAGCGTTCCCTGGTGTGCCGATCCGAGCGTCGTGTATGTCGAGTTGCGTCTCTCCTTCTCCGGGGTGGTTGATAGCTCGTCTTCGTAAGGTGGCTGCGCCCTCGGGAAGTAGTGTTGGTTGGCGTTGGTCGGGATCCGGGCTGATTGACTATTCTCCTTCGAGCACTGGATGGCGATTCCCGGGTGGTTGGCAGCTTGCCTTCATGAGGTGGCCGCGTTTTCCTACAAAAATGGCCCACGACGAGGCCCATCCGACGAGCAAGTTAGTAACGAGAGGGATTGCTTTTCTTTTTCCCTATTTGTTTTCTGCCTCTTCCCTGGCCAAAGGCCGGCTAGGGGTTTTATACTATGGCGCGAGGGTTGATGGTGCGTTGATTCGACGTCGCCGCTAACCCCCGAGGGATGGGACGACCCTTCTGACCGATCGTCGTTCCGGGATGTGCAGAGCGACGTCAGACGGCACCGCCCCGAGCTCCCGGGATGGGACGTGTGGCGTAGGACTCTGACTTGGCATGCTGTGTCGGCTGTGACGTGTTCAGGCTGTCAAAATATACTATATCACAAAGCAGATAGTTTAGGATAAACAGGAAATTCACTCCCATCAAGATCATTCCTAATAAAAAAAATTTATTCTAACTTTATGTGAAAATTTTAATATACATGTCAACCATATAAATATCTAAAAATAATAGATGTGACTTCTACTAAGATGACAATGTGTGATACAGTGCAATGAACATGCATGATTAGAAGCTATGCGTGCTACTTGATTGCTTCTTGCACATAAGATTTTTGAATTTTCTTAATTTAATTGAGGATTTTGCTCTGTGCATAGCTTAATAGAGGGAAAAGCATCGACCAAGTACAACGACATCCAGCAAAGATCGGGATGGCACCACCCGAGTACAACATTATCTCACGAAGATCGAGACAGCGATGTCTCGCAAACATCGGAACGACACCAACCGAGTACAGCGCTGTCCCGTAGAGATCGGGATGACACCGACCAAGTACAGTGCCATCCTGCAAAGATCAGGATGGCACCACTCGAGTGCAGTGCCGTCTCGTGAAGATCGGGACATCGTCGACCAAGTACAGCGCCCATTGGGTCGGCAACTATAAATATGACAAGTACAGTTGGTCCCCAAGCAGAGGGATAAAAATCAGTCACGGGGCCGACGAGAGGGGGATTGATTCTTGGCTCATTTTTCACCCAATTATAACAAAATCTTCGGAGGGGTCGAAGTCAGGAGTCCCCTTCCCGACCCCGACCTGTGTACAGGGACAAATGATAGGGAGGAAGGCCCACGACGACGAACGTTGCCTCGTCGCCCGAGCGACAGTTGAGCCTGAGACCGATGCCCATGCATAGTGTGCGAAGCCTCCAACACCCTCGCTCCGGCAGTCCCGAGCCTGACACACTATCATTCGACTCGACATACTCCCTCTGGGCACAACTGTGATCAGTGAACCGACGTATGGATGAGGTTCAGCGAGAGTTTCATAAGTCCAAAGAGGAGCTTGGCGAGTCCTCTTTAGGAGGATCACCTATTACACCTGAAATTTAGGCCATGCCAATTCCTCCAAGCTTCCATCTCCATGTTCTCGAAGCCTATGACGGTAGCTCCAACCCGACAGAACATGTCGCCACCTTTTGAGCCCAGATGGCCCTATATGACACTTTGGATGCCCTCTTGTGTAGGGCATTCCCCTCCTCGCTCTTAGGCCCAGCTTGAATGTGGTACAATCGACTCAGACTGGCCTCGATCGCCTCCTTCGACCAGTTGGCCAAGGAGTTTGAGCTCAATTTCCTGGCCAGCGTGCGACCGAAGCCGTCCGCAGCTCTGCTCCTCGGTCTCAGCCAAAAGGATGACAAGCCCCTTTCTCATTTTGTGACTCCCTTTGCCACTGAAATTTGGGGGCTGCCCAATGCTCATCTCTCTTTGATAATGCATGCATTCTTAATGGGACTCCAGCCTTCCAGATTCTTCTGGTCGCTGGTCGAGCGGTTGCCGACGTCTATCCCTGAAATGCTTTAGTGTGCTAACCAATTCGTAGCCGCCGAAGCATTGATGGCGGGAAAGAGTGAGGAGCATAAGAGGCCGCGAGTAGAACCAACCCAAGAGCAAGCCCCGGCGTCGCCAAGAAGGAGGATCGACCGACCCAATGCACCACTCCCGATGCCCCCACTCCCGCCTTTGAATTCCTCCGGGATGGAGATATTCTTGCATATCATGGAGAAGGGACTCTTGAAGGTCCCTAATCCGATGAAGGCACCACACGAGCTCAGAGACCGCTCGAAGTATTGCTGGTTTCATCGCAACTATGGACATGACATCGAGGAGTGTCGCGACCCGAAAAACCAGATCGAAGAACTCATACGCTGGGGGCACCTAGGTCACTACATTAGGAGGTTGTGCGAATTGTCGCCCCGTCCTTCGGGTCCAGTTGAAAAGTAAATTGATGTGATCAGCGGCGGTTTGGCATTAGGGAGAGTTAACATGGCGAGGTGGAAGGCTTATGCCCGTGCAACCATTGAAAAACACCCGAGGCAACCCCAAGTGCCCGAGATCACCTTCCCCGCAAGAGAAACTGAGTACCCGGAGCATGACGATGTGCTAGTCATCTTGGCCAAGATCGCCAATGCTCGGGTTAAAAGGACCATGGTGGACACTAGGAGCTCTGTCGATGTCCTGTACTTCGACGCCTTCCGAAAACTCGGCCTGACCAAGGAAGACCTCGACCCAATTCAATTGGCACTTACTAGATTTATATGTGATTCCATTTCATCCCTCGGCACAATCGTCCTACCAGTCACCCTGGGTGAAGACCCACAGGTCGAGACGATCATGGTAATCTTTATGGTGGTGGAACTCCCCTCGGCATACAACATCATCCTGGGCTGACCAACCCTCAACAAGCTCAGAGCGGTCATCTCCACATACCACCGGGTGATAAAATTTTTGACCTGAGCAGGGGTCAAGGAAGCGAGGTGTGATCCTCAGGAATCCCGACAATGTTACCTAGCGACTATCACATTACCCAAGAAGCCGAGGCGCGAGCATCCCATCACCGACCCTCGAGACATCGCAAAGCCAACGCAATGCCCCGAACCAACCGAGCACACCCAAGAGGTCCTGCTATGTCATGACCGACAAAAATAGGGTCGTTAGGGTCGGGTCAAGGCTACCGGAGGAGGAAAGAGAGCAACTCATCAACCTGCTAGTTGAAAATGTTGATGTCTTTGCCTGGTCACTAGTGGACATGCCCAAGATTAACCGAACGGTCGTACAACACCACTTGAACATCAATCCCCAAGCGCGACCGGTGAAGTAGTGGCCCCGAAAGCTAGCACTCGACCGACAAAAGGCTGTAAATGACGAGATAGAATGACTCTTGGTGGCAGGATTCATCGTAGAAACAAAATATTCTCGATGACTGTCGAATGTAGTTCTCGTTAAGAAACCTAATGGAAGTTGGAGAATGTATGTTGACTACACCGACCTCAATTAAGCATACCCGAAGGACCGCTATCCACTCCCGAGGATCGACACAACCTCAGGGCACGAGCTCCTCACGTTCTTGGTCACGTTCTCACGGTATAACCAAATCAAGATGGCGCCAAAAGACCTGGAACATACAGCTTTCATCACAAACTAAGGAGTTTACTTCTACATAGTTAGTCATGTCATTCTGTTGGAATTGGTAAATATTTTAAGATTTTTTCAATCAATTATTCTTAATCATATTACAAGGGCTCTTGTTTAAGGAAAAAAATGTTTAAAATTAAGACTTAATTTTTTATAAATATTTTATATATTTTTTAATTTTTGATAGGAAAAAAAAATTATTAGAAATATTTTATATGTCCTACAATATTTCTATAATGTGAGAAAACAAACATGAATTTTTGGAGTCTACATAAGAGGTGTATTAAAGTTTGAGTGAGTTATAAATTGATTTCATATGATGATGAATATAAATTATTTTTATAAATATAAGTAAGGTATGTCGAATCACTCACCTTTACAAACTTACCTTAATTAATGTACACAAATCATTATTCTTGTAAACAGAAATTATATGTTCAAGAGTTATCCTCATATGACTCCAAGCCTTCGGCAAAGCAGGTGATGCCAATCAATTTGGGCATGCAATTGTAAGCTTAGACATATACTAACATCAACAATTTCCAATGGTCATACCATATTAATGAATTATTTCGTTCATTACAATATAAATATTTTTTGTATCGCTAAACACTCGGATGACAAAAGACACTGTGGATGGAATATCCAACTGTGATATTAAAGAGTTCATGTACCTTTTTTTTTTTCCTGAATATTTCCACTTGTGAAGATAATAATAATCACTCGTTCATCTTTTTTTCTAAAAAATACTTTATTTTACTTTAATAAAAGTTTGCAAACAGATTTGCTGATTGGAAAATTCACATACACAATGAAAAAATCACATAAAAATCACGTGTATTGGTAAGTTTTAGAGGACAACAGATGCATCAACCAAATATTATGTCACCTCTCTCTCAGACCCAACTCAGTTGATGAAGTATAGTTTTCTAGACCATGAAACACTGCCGAGAAATTTTGGTCCCATCTCACCAACCTCAATAAATCATATTTTTAATGCTGCCGATTGTATTATAGAAGACATTTATCTTCACAGAGTCCATTCCAGATTCTATCATTGTTGTCGAAGGACAAGAGATGAAAGCAACAAGCAATTCCGGAACATCCTCTACTTCAAGATAAGCATGCAAGTGGAAGGCATAACTTCATCTGCTTGTCTTGCAGATTCCATCTGTATTTATCGGAACATTAAAACAATAGATCGAGGCTGCCATGATTATCCAATTAAAATACAAATGGTGGACCCATTCTAAGTCGAAGCTTTAATAGACGACGATGGACACTGAAGATGATCTCAACTACGGAGGCTCCACCGAAAAAGCGTGCTATCAGGACATGTGAATAGGGTCAGACGCATCTATGCAACCCGCTTCCCAAGATGGCCTTTCAAGATTTGAGCCTGCTGTTATTAATATGGAGCGGTTTGTGGGGGAAGAAGAAGAGGAGGAGGAAGGCAGAGAAGGGGAGATGTGATGGGGACGCTTTGTTGCCCACCTCATTCGATCGACATATGCTTTTCCTTCCCCTTGGTCTCTTCATCTGCTCGTACATATTGAATACTCGAACGCTTGTTGTTCTCATATGTTGTGGATGCATATGGATGTGCATGGATTCTGAGTGTGTTTCTTGTTTCTTTTGTGTTGCTGTTTTATCTCAGTTTACGAGTAGTTCAGCTTAGAGATTAGGAGGGATTTTTTGGGTTGGAGGTGGAGCTCCTTGAAGTCCAAAGGAGGGTCTTGGTAGGGTGGATTGAGCTGCTGGTTTATGGATTCCACTGCCGTATTCCATGTTTTCTTTGCTATAGCTGATGACAAAGATGGTGAATGTTTTGGGATAGGCTTGTGGTTTGCATAACTCAGGAGCTGGGTATTTGGATTGAAGGGAGCTCTACATCTGTTTACTCCAACTTTCTGTTCTTGTTTTTCATTTCTATGTCTTGTTTTATAATCACTATCCTCTCTCTCTCTCTCTCTCTCTCTCTTTTAGTCTGTTGCTTTCTTAATTATTGCCAAGATTTTGATGAGGGTTTGCTTAGTTTGTGGCGACTTCTTGAGTGCTGATGGTGCCGAAGGACAGCTTTTCGATTCCCCAAGGGGGTTCTTCTATTCCTCTGGTCGAGGCGAGTTTTGCTAGTGTGTGAGCTTAAGTGTCCTCTGTCCGAGGCACCCTTGTTATTACAAAGTCTTTAAAGCAATCGATAAGCCATCGTACCTCGGCTAAATATTTGATCATGGTTGCATCCCGAACTTCATAATTTTTGTTAACTTGGTCGACCATCAGTTGAGAGTCGGTGAAGATCTGAATATTCTTTACTTGTAGCTCCAAGGCTAAGTGGAGCCCGGATAGTAGGGCTTCGTACTCGGTCTCATTGTTGATAGCATATGCTTGAATAGTTGATCGCCCGACCCTTTGAAGACCAGCCCGGCTCCACCTCGTTTGGCATTGGTCGACCTGTCAACATATAATGTCCATTGCTATTCGACATCCTGGCTGGTGCCTTCTTGGTGGAGAGTTAATTCCGATACGAAATCAACAATTGATTATGCTTTGATGGCAGTCCTCGGGACGTATTGAATGTCAAACTCTTCGAGCTCTATTGACCACTTCAACATGTGCCCTAATGCGTCGAATTTGAACATGACCTAGTGAAGTGGTTGGTCAGTCATCACTTTTATTGTATGAGCCTGGGAGTACAGGCGTAATTTTTGAGCTACATGTACCAGAGCTAATGTCAGCTTCTCGATTGGTCAGTACCATTCTTCGGGTCCATTCAAGATATGGTTGGTGTAGTATACTGGGTGTTGTTCTTTTTCCTCATTTCGAACCAGGAGGGAACTAACCACGTGTTCGGATGCAGCCAAGTAGATGCATAGGGGTTCGCCTAGGGCGACTGAGGAGAGCTAGGGTAATCGGGTGAGATGTTCTTTGAGCTTCCTGAATGCTTCTTCACATTCTGCTATCCATTGAAAATTTTTGGGATTCCTTGGGGCTCGGAATAAGGGTAGGCATCTGTATCCTAACCAAAGGAGGAATCGGGCGAGCGCAGTCAGCCTTCCTGTGAGGCATTGCATTTCTTTGGTCGACCGAGGAGGCAACATTTTCGTTATGGCTAGGATCTTTTTGGGGTTTGCATCTATCTCTCGCTGGTGAATAATGAAGTCGTGGAACTTGCCCGAGTTGACTCCTAAAACACATTTGGCAGGGTTGAGACGCATGCTGAACCTCCTCAATGTTTGGAATGTTTCTGATAGATCTGCCAAGTGAGTGCGGGCGAGCTTGCTTTTGACGATCATATCATCATGCTGAAACTCAGAGGGATCGGTTTGTCCTGAATTTCCGGGATGAAGGGGGATTCTACTACAGAGGGTTTCCCGAACTCTTCTTTGGACTTATGGAACTCCTTATGGACCTCATCCAGAAGTCGGTTGACCGAGCGTAGCTGAGCTCGGAGAGAGTCCACTGAGTCGGATGACAAGGTGTCGGGCTCTGGGAGGCTTGGGGTGACGCATCGGGTACCCGAGTAATTGTGTTCCGGGGTCGACCTCGGGTTTTTCGAACCTCCCTCATGCGACAAATTGGCGCCTTCTACTCGGGGTTGCTGAGCGGCCAGGGATGGTGCTTGGGGTCCAGGAGCGAGGGTTGGCGGATCTCGCAACTGAAGCGGTGGTTGGAGCGACGTCGGCTGCTGCATGAACTGGGGAATGAGGGGAATGATGGCCTACATCATCCCTGCTAAGGTTTGGACTTGGTGCGCGAGGTTATGGAAGGCCTTAAGCGAGACGAGAGGTCGTCCTATGGCGGTTCCGGGAGGCATCAGCCCGGGATTGTTGAACAACCGCCAGTTGCAGTAGTGGCATTCCCTTCTAGGCTCGAAGGGGGTGGAAAGTGTCCCCCCAGCCCGAAGGTCGCGTGAGGCGGGAATGGCTTTTCTTCGAAACATTCTACAAGGTGACTCTGCTGGGGGCATTCTTGCGACATCGGGACCTCCTTCCAGCGCCAAAAATGTTAGTGAACTTTATACCGTGGCCAGGGAGTCAGTACGGCTTGGTTCGACTCCGAATGTCCAAGGAGGCACCCACGAAGACTCTGGGCCGGTCGTTAGGTTGGGTCGAGTGGAGCGGGTCGTCGTCTGCTTCCTCGTCATCGAGCCCTACACATAGGTCAAAGTCGGGGGGATGTTTTCCTGACCCGACCTCTCCGAATGTCAGGTTAGTGGAGTTGGATTTCACTCAAAGTCCGCTTCCAAGTTCGGCTAGAAAAAGCCTCCCCTAGCGTAGCTAGGTAGTTGGCTCTTATACTTGTGCACGAGAGTTGATCGTACAAGGTTTGTTTAATGACTGTCGACCCTTGCAGGCGGCTAGCTCATACCTTATGTGTGATCGATGTCTGCATCGAGGTGGTTTTGTACTTGGCGGCGTCGTCTCAAGTTCCCAGGGTCAGCTTCGTACTTGGTGGCACCGTCCCGAGTTCCTAGGGTCGGCTTTGTATTTGGCGGCGCCGTCCCGAGTTCCGAGGATCAGCTTTGTACTTGGCAATGCCGTCCCAAGTTTCCGAGGTCGGCTTTGTACTCGACGATGCTAACGCGGGTTCCTCGCTTGGGGTTGTACTCGATGACCTCAACCCAACCATGGAAAGGAGGCTAAGGTGATGGGGCCTGGTTGGCCGTGCTGCCATAGATGCTGTCGTGATAGGTATGCTAAAATATGCCCTATCACTTATCTAACTGAATCGTGTGAAGTAGCACGCATAGCTTGTTTCATGCATGTTCATTGCATTGTATCACACATTGTCACAAGTTATATATATATATATATATATATATATATATATATATATATATAAAAGAAAGATTATAGAATTATTTTCATCTCTCCTTAGTTAATATTTTATATAAGAAAAAGAGTCTAGTTTTTCCTGTAAATTAATTTGTTTAAATCGAATGATTATACATTTATAAAAATATTCTAAATGATATCAAAAGTTACACTATCTTACAATAAATTTTTTTTACATAATAATAACATGATTATAATTTTTATATTTACATATGCTTGCGGCATTTCCTCTTCTTATTATTATTGACATCAGATGGATGGTGTTGTATCTCAAGTAAACAAAGAAAAAAAAAATTTAGAATTAACAGTATCCTTGGAAACTAAAAAGCAAGTTATTGCAACCAATATCAAACTCATTTCAGCTATTGAACAAATAATAATCTTTGACCAACACAAAAATAATAGGGTTCGAACTAAATCAATAGTATTATAGAATGGTTACCTTGCGTCTTGGAATCAGTAGTAATCATCATTCGGCCAACATAACCTCTATCATCCATCGAAATCAAGAAAAGATAACATTGAAAATTTCAATTATTATCGATTGACTTCATCACCACGACCCCATCCTTCTGTGCCACCACCACCGACGACGCCAATCCGAGGAACAACCCATGCTCCACCACTCCGGTAATCCTCAGGATCGCATCGCTGATCACTCTCAGGTCGCCATGGATCCCATTCTCGAAGAACAAATCCGCGATGTAGTTTTTGTTGTCAGTCACGAATGGCTCCGAGTCCCACTCCTTCTCGTCAAAGGTGGTGGCTTTGGCGTTGATGGAGGCGGTCCTGAGCTTGAGATTGAAGCCCGGCACGCCGTCGAACAAGCTCTGTAGTCGGCGGAGAGTGAGGGCCCAGCCGAAGGGGATGATCTCCACGGGGACGGCGAGGCCGCTGGCCGCGAGGCGAGGAACCAA